GTATAAACTTTATTCGTTTAACAAACCAACGTTCACCATTGAGAGATAAAATCTTAATTTAAACTTAGGCTATAGTTGCGCGAGATGGCAGCCGTGCAAGTGTAATTAATAATCAAAGATGCGCATACGTTCCTGAAAATCCTACAGTTTAGGTTTACATGCGCTAAAATCCAGGTAAGGTATATTCAAGGTGCAGGTTGCGACTCAGCTGTGAAAGTTTAACAGCGTGCATTGCAGATGTTGGCAGGCAACAATTATGATTAGGAAGCGTGCAGCCATGGGCTGCCTGTGTTTTTGCCTCAATGCGAGCTGTATGCATTCGATCATTTAGCCTTCAGGCCCCAGGGGCAGGGTGCTATAGACAGCTGCCTTTTAGAAAATCATATGATTTAAGGAGCGTTTAAAACCTTGTTCAACAAACATTTTGCCATCTTGCAGACTTAGAACTGATCGCAAACTGTTAGACCCTACACGATATGACACGAGGTATATAGGGCTACAACTAGATAATTAGCAATAAGGCAGTTCAACGAGTCCATTGTTAACAGATCAACAAATCAAGTTTTAACCCTCCTCTTGAGGGTTCAAAAGGAATTATCCGACACTTACTCTTTCGGCATAAGGTCAGTGGAAAAGACAATATTCATTGGTCCCTTCAATAAAGCCATAAAAATGCTTACGGTCAAACAGCTGAAACAAAAAAGTCTTTCCAAATCGCCAATCAACGTCACACGCTCATGTCCTCAGCATAGTCGTAAATATCTGCCACTCTGTTGCACAATTGACTACTTTGAACCTGTGACTTTCAAATTTCGCGCACAGTGATAGGCTTTTCCCTTACCAATGATAGCCTTATACAAACCGACTTATCACGAGCCTACAGGTCGAGCCGTTCTAGATTTGTAGCCGCCATTCTGGAATTTCCTCCCTATACCGTTGAAGTTTAAGGTAGTGAATGTTTCCTCACAATATCTTTTACAAACCTCTTGACCTTATTGACCTTATTGACCCCCCAAGCTTACGACATACCCAACTCGTTTTCGGAATTAACCCACCCCACGTCTCTACGAATATTTTTTGGACCGTACGTTCAGAGCGGTTAAGATATTAGTGCCAACTCTGTTGACGTGAAAATCATATACACGGACGGACGGCGAAAAAACGGCTCGGACCGGTAACAACGTAATACGGACGGACGATCATGCGATTCTACAAGCTGTCATCTGACTTATGGTCAGCATGAGCCTTAAAATACTGTTTCACGAAGCGAGTTTAAGTACATATTTAACTATCACAATAATTTAAGCCGACATTCAACATGAATAAATAGCATGGTACTCGCCTCCCCTCTCGGGCTTGATAGATATACTCGATGGAATCGAGTAATCGAGGTCTGGGAGCGAGTAACCAGAATCCTAAAACAAATTACCCAGGATTAGTTCAATATGGACGGACCAATACGCCAACAATATCTTTCCAGTTCAGGGTACCATGAAAAGGAATTATTTGCTAACCTATAATGATTTGAAGTAGTACAGCAAATCTTAGAATAATTTAAATTTTCCTATGTGGAAACAAATTGAAGTAAAATTTCCATTTGGAAAATCTTGCACAGGCGTACTTTAAATATACTAGTACTACCTATCTTCTAAGTTCTCAGTACTAGCAAAACTAATTATGGATTTTTAGCTGGATTAATCATGCTCCTGATGAAATTAAATTCGTGTGATTAATCGTTATCATCGATTAAGTTAATTACGCTTTCGTGAAGACAGTCACTCTTAATTTTAAGTACGAGAAGTTAATCATGATTAGTGATTTAATCACGATTCAATACTTAAGTACGCTTCGTGAAACCGGCCCCTGGCTCATAACCTATTGTCATCTGGTGACAAGCTTTTAACACTGCTTTTAGCTTGAACATGTTCAACAATAGTTGTCGAAACTGTTGCTGACGCATTTAAATTATGTTGTTTTTCGTGGGTTTCCTCTACGTAACAGGAGAAAACTCTCTCCACCACCGACGTCGCGAACTATGCAGTCCCAACCTGGGGTCCCGACGGATTCTCCCATCATCACATCTCACCTTGCTCTCATACATCTGCTCTATCTCGTCACGGTGAATGGCGCTCTGCTCTTCATATTGATCACGCAGCTCCCTGAGTGCATCAGCCAATTTGTGCTCGTATTCCTCTTGCAGACGACTATCCACCTCAGTGACCGCCAATTCTTTCTTGGTGCGTACTTCCTTCATTTCCTATAGAAAACCAGTATGTTTTAGATTCTTGGTCTCGGCATTAGAAAGAGTACATGGGTAGTTTCCAACAGAAATGCAAGTGGTGTCAGACACAGATGCATCGCACAGCCACACACTTGCTAGCATGCGTACACACACCGCACGCACACGCGCGCACGCACACGCACCCAGGGGTAGAAATTAATTTTTGAATGAACAAGGGAGTCCAACGGACTGGACTCCCTGCCCTCAAAAAGAGGGAGTACGTAGTCTGAAGTTCAAAACTAAAGCATAACAACAATAACACATACAGATTATTGCCATGCACGTCTGCCAAATTTTCTTTGGACATTTGCTGAAAAATACGGTAATTCTGCAAGGCCGTGCTCTGGAACGAACTACTACTAATTTGTATAACAGAATTTTCTGGGAGTCACACAGACTCCTACATATGTCAAATCAGGGAGTCTGACAGTAAATCAGGGAGTATTTGACTCCGGACTCACGTTAATTTCGCACCCTACATACCTCACGCGTGCGAGCATGCGTACACACACCGCACGCATGCGCGCGCGCACACACCGCACGCATGCACGCGCACACACACATCGCACGCATGTACGCACACACACACACACACCGCACGCATGCACACACACACCGCACGCATGCGCACACACACACACATCACACAGATGCATGCACACACACTCACGGTGTCACACACGCACACGAGCAATTCCACTCTGACTGATATTGCATTTAAAGAGGAATAAACCGGGAGCCAATCACTCAGAATTTTGTACACATTCCACTTAAAAAATTAAAAAATTTGCTATTTAGATTGCTAATTTTGACT